CAGATTAAATCTAAAAAATCTGAAAAAAATATATGTTAAAATATGTGATATTATCTTCATTTTAATGTAAAAATAAATAATATTTATTAGTAAAATTAAAAACTTTTATATGGAGAGAAAAATTCATATTTTATTGTTTAATTAATAAATTTTGACGTTGTGTAGAAAAATTCGCATTTTATTATGTTTAATTAATAAATTTTGACGTTGTGTATTTATTAATTAAATTGTTTTATATTAATATTAATAATATAGTTTATTAGTATAAAAAAATATAATTGTAAAAATATAATTAAATCTTAAGTAAAATTACTAATTTCTTATAATTTATAAGATAATTAAAAAATAAATATTTAAAAAATAATAAATATAGAGCAAGTTTAAAAAATATATAAATTCAAATAAGACTTTTCCTAAAATAAAGATTATTTAATCGTAATTATAAATTGAATCTACTTTGATTTCATTCATGTTTCATTAAAGATCAGTTGCTGCTATAGCTGACTTGAATTATGCAATTAGACTAGCGGAAAAATTTCCAGACGAACAAATACGTGAAATGATTGATCTGCTTAAGCTCTTCTGTGTGTTCGCGTTATGATTTAATTCTAAATATTAAAAATGATTAATTGTCGGTATCATCTTAACTAAAATGGAATAAACTATGTATGAAAACTAATTGTGTCTTATTACAACCCGGGACAGAGGAGAACTAATTACGTAATACAGCTCACTCTCGATATAGTGAAGTTTTTAGAATCATGTGAAATTATATAACGATAATATTCGCTCGATATAAGCTATTGGTGAGTGTAATTGAATCTATTTTTTGTGACCAAGAGATTTCCAAAATTTATTATGTGTTACTTCATTTTAAGAGTTATAAAGTGATAAAATTATTATTCATTACGTATTGCCTTCCAAAATCCATCAGCTGAAATGCTTAATCCCTCTATTATTTCTATCTTCCCATGCTTCAAACATATAATTATTATTCATGGTTTGTTTTAATAACCTGACCTGATCGTAATCAAGTTTTTCGAACCTTCTAATGCATCTGATAACAACATTTGAATCATTTCCGGGTGAATGCAGTTTCAACCATTTGGCAACTGCATTATAGACGGGATGTTGTATACGACCAGTGGATGCCAACTTCTTTATTTTTTCTGACATAAATTTTTCAAACCTAGTAAATTATATTCATGTTGTAAAATATCTTTGATTTAAATAGCGAAGTCAATCCTCCAAAAATAATCGCTATATTCGTCTCTAAAGAATTTCAAAAGAATCCAGCTTCTATTCATTACAATTTCACATTCGCATTCATCCATCCCTTCTTACTAATTGTTACGAATCGGAGAAGTAACTTGTACACTAAATGGTGACCACATGTGCGAATACTGAACACATTGGTGGTTCACCCAATTTTTAATAAGTGGATACAAAACAAAACAAAAAATGTTAACATCATTATGCTCTTTCCAAACTGGAGCAATGGTACAACGGCGATTACTAAATTATTGATTACCGCCCAAAGTACTATCGCACGTTCTAGAAAATAACAAGTCAAATTTTTCTTTATTTGACTTGAATTAAAAAGTTTCACGACAAAAATCTCGTTATAAATGCAGAAAGTTAAAATATTTTCTTCTAACTTATTTTCGAACTGAATAATGAGTTGTTATATGATATTTTTATGCATTTTGTTTGCATTACTGGCATTAATATTAAATGTATCATCTGAGTCATCCGAATTATCAGAAGCAGCAGGTTGGACGAGTCCGACTCTGATTCCGATGCCGACTCGTGGATTATCAACGCCGACTCCGACTACGACTTTGACTCAATTGACTTCATTTAAAGTTAATAGTTTCTCGTCATTATTATCTCCACTATTAACATCAAGATCAATGACTGTGACTTCTACAGAAGCAATCAAAACAAACACAAAACAAGACTCACCATCGCCATCCGATAATGTCCAATTGACTCGATGCGAAAAAATATTCAGAACCACGAAATGTTCAACATGCGAAAAGACAATATCTGAAATTTTACTAGATAGCTATGATCCTTGTAGTATCTCAGCATTAATAGATTTTACCTACTCTAAATCGAGCTCGAGCATACTAGATGAAGAATGTCCAAAGAAATGTGACGAAGAAAAAATACTTGGAATGAACACAAAAATCCAACAAGACTGTAAGGACGAATTACAGCAAGCTTTTGAAGCACCAATTAGTTATTTTGATCCTCAATCTTATATAGCCGAGGTTTGGCTGGCAGTTTACAAGGCAATACCTATTAAGAAAAGTCATTGCTTAAAAAATACTACCACAGAAGGTATAAATCATTCATTCTTTAACTTGGATTATATTATGATTATATGCTAATATTGCGTATATATTTAACAGAATATTGTTATATTATGTGTAAAGAGCAAGTTTTACAATATCTGTTCAGTCTATTAACGAAAAAAGAATTGACTCAATCAACCATATTTTTTGACATTAATCCACCAAATGCCCAATTATCATATGCTGTTGTCGATAAATCGAGTTTCAAAAATCTGATTCTCCCAAGTGATATTCTATGTGGAGAATGTTATCAGAGTATATCTAAAGTTTGGTTGGATTTTTTGGAAAAAAATCCATCGACGATTGATTTAGCAAAAAAAGATTTCGATGGGATATCGAGTATATTGAAAGGAAATTTCAGTAAAACATGCAAAACATTTATCACTAATAGCAGTAATAGCAGTAATAGTGAAGGAAGTAATATTAGTACCCAAGATAGATTTAAATATGTTTTTTATAGTATATCTATGCTTTTATGTTGGTTAGTTCAATATTTGATTTAATTGCAAAGATAATTCATTATTTACAATATTCGATGATACTTTTAACCACACATTCTCATCATATGGTTTATAAACTTTATAAATCCACACCCTCTCTACAATTATTATGAAGCATAGGAAATTTGACCTTCATATAATAATAACCTCTTTAAAATCACAATGGTGTGATTATGGCACTTGAATTCAAATTGTCAATAATAATAAATCCTTTCAATGTAGTGAATATTCGAGCACATTCATTATAACAAAAATGACATATGTGAAAATTAATAAAAGCAATTTCTAGCATTCAAGAAATAGAATTATGGAGATATAAATTTGAGATTAAACTTCGTTTTAATGAAAATTTCAATATTTTCTTTCTGTACTCTGAACTCTTATATGTTGGCTTTGTCTAAGAGATTTATCTTCAAACTGAAATTATATATCTACAAATTATAAATCTTAATCCTTAATTGAGAACTTCTATTTATTATTTAAGAAATAATGTAACAGTTAACTGAATAAAGTATACCTCCCATTTCCGTGCACTCAATATCTCAAAATTTTATTTTAAGTCATTAATTATATTTTTTCAATAATTTTAATTTAACATTTCACTTAAAAACATACTATCAAAAATATTATCAAAAATATTATCATAAAATTGGTATTATTAATATGCAATAAATTAAATAAAAGAAACAAACCTAAAAAATATATAAATGAAAAAAATACAAACTTAATTGAGTATATAATGAAAAAGATTATAGATGAACAGAAATAGGACAGAATACATTTATAAATTTTTATACCTATTTTATTTTTTTTACAAATTTTCATAAAAATCAGCCTAATTTATATAGATATTTAAGATCCTAAAGTCTGAATCTATGCTAGGAGCATTAATACATGAATCAATGCTCCTAGCATAGATTCGGTCCTTCAGGGTCTCAAATCTCGGTGAATTTGGGGCCAATTTTTATGAAAACTGGTAAATAGGTAGATTTCATAGAGTAGTACATTTTTAATTAGTGGTTCAAATTTGGATCCGTCATAGAAAAAAGTTCTTCAATGTGAGAAATTTACTAATTGTAAATTTTGATTTAAACACTCTATTTCACAAAATAATCTGTTGTCAAATTATTTTTAAAAAATATTAAAGGTTTCAGGGTTTCGAATGAACACTTTTATTTTGTCCAAACTAATAGTCATGGAAATAAAAATGTTAGAAAGTCAATTTTCGTGTTCGGTTACATGTGTGAGCCACTGTACATGTACTAACAAAAAGTGCATGTGAATAGGCAGGATTACCTTATGTAATACATGTATGTAATTGTCAAAATTAAAATTATCTGGATTACAAGAGAAATAAAATTACATGTATGTATTATCTGAGGATTTTTCTCAAGAATGCAAAAAGAAAATAAGCTTTTATATTTTTTACTTTAGCAGCTTTTCTTTTTCGGATTGCATAAATTAACTTGCACATAAATGGAAGTTCTGTGAAAAATATAGATGCATCAATATTATCTCATTTTAAAGTTTTAAAATATATTAAAGTAACACAACAAATAATTAGAAAGTGTTAAATCACGATCGCTTTCACAGAATCAAAAGCATCAAATTGTAATTGTTATATTTTATAAGTATATGTTACAATTTCAAATAATGTAAATTCAACGTAGCTTACTAACTTAATTATTTCACAAATGCAAGATTTATTCAAAATCTGTTGTTGCATTATTTTTGCTCTTTTCAAATGTAATTTACAAGATATATAAATAAAATAAAAATTAAGCCATTTTTCGTTGTTTTTTACTATATTTAAAATTAAATAATTCTCTAACACTTCGTGTATCCATCCTGAGCTTTTATCACATCATCAATTCGTTCTGGTATAGAATGAATCAGATTAGTACAATAATCAACTTCAGTTGTATCTTTTCCAGAGGTTATCCTTACCTGAAACTGGCACAGGAGATGATGATCGATCTCATTCCACAAGTGTTCAATTGATTGAGATCTGGGAATTGGGGAGGCCAATCTTAACTGACACGCCATTATCGACGAAACACTTTTTCGTATCATTGGCTGTATATTCGGGATCGTTATCTTGTTGAAAGCTAACGTCAGTGATAGTGAAACCATGCTGTTCAATGGAATTTATAAGGATTAATCATTATGATTCATCATTCATTTTCTTATCTATTTTGCAAAGGTCACCAACACCACAATATGTAAATCAATCCTGTCTTTCAGCGTTCACCCAGTCTTTTCCAATAATACTCTAACCCAAAAACCCTGAATTTTGATTCATCGAACCATATTACCTTGATCAATCCAATTGTCATATTTATTAGTAAATTCAAGTCGATGTTTCATGCGTTCTGGCTTTAGGTATTGCTTTTTTCTCTTAACTCTGGCTACAAACCATTATTTCGTAGTATACGATGAATAGTATGTTCCAAGGTTTTAAGTTTTTTAGCTTTGAATAAACGTTTTTGAACTTGAAAAATGGTGAGACAATCGTGAGAAGTAATGAACTGAACAAATTGTTTTTCTTGTCGTTATTTAATGTATGTGGACGACCGAACTTGCTTGCATTCTGAAGAATATTGTTTTACGCCATCTTTGTAGATCTGACAAACTGTGAAAGAACTAATATTTCACGTTCTAGCTATCTCTCTTGTAGTATATCCATTATTGAGTGAAATAATAATTTCAGCTCGTTTTGCAGCTTGCTTTATTTATTAAGTCATATCGATATGATCATCTCAAAATGATACTGATACTCTTTATTATATTATTGATTTTTTGTTGCATCACTTTTGATATAAAACACAACATAATCATAAAAATATTTATTAAGATGAACTCAGAAAGATGGGTTCTAATACTCATAATTGTATTGAATGCTTCTTTAATTGAATTACTGCAGGGAGTGTTTGGATCACAGTAATAATAAACGTAGCAAAATATGTTCATTGTCAAAAAAATCGTTGCTTTAAGTATTCAGCTCACAATACTTATAATTGTAGTAAATGTCACTTTTGTGAGTATTCAAATGACAAAGCTCATGATTGTAGTAAATGTGCTTATAGTTTCAAGTCACATTATAAAAAGACATACTATATAAATTATATATTAATTTTTAATACTTTCTTGAAATTCAGTAATCATAATGCTTTTTCAAAATTTAATAATTACCTTGACCTAATAACTATCAAAGATATGATTAATTTTATAATAGTTGTCTGAAAAAATGTAATACCAAGATCAACCTGCAACTATTAAATAAAATTAATATTCTGCTATATGATTTTCTTAATGGATTATCACTAACTAAAGAACCTGCTAATGAAACTAATTCTATTAATAAAATTCAAAGCCTGATTAAATGATGATCTCTTGATTAATTTATGAATACTAATAAATATATACCGATACGTAATGATTAACAATAATACTGAAATGCATACTGATGAGAAAATAATCATAATAGTAAAAAATAAGGATTGTAATTAATCAAACAATAAGAATATAGTAGTAGAGCCAATATCTTATTGCAAAGCTGTGATATTTATTGATGCTATTTTGTTGTTTTTCAAACAGCAGATGATAATCTCTTTGTTGATAATTCTTTTATTTGGGATTTAAGAAAATTGAAGATAAATTGCATTGCTTTGAAGTGGTAGACTACTTTAAACATGTTTGTTCAGAAGGAGAGTATACAATAAAGAGCTTTTATATATATTATTAACTTTCTTGAAATGATCAATAATTGGCAACTTAATTGCTATATTAAGTCCCTAGTCAAGAAGTTTAGACATTTTATAAAATACAAACGTTTGATGACTTTAGATGTTATTCACTATATAAGTCCAGAGGCGCTATATGAAAAACCATGCACTAAAGCAGCAGATAATGATATATATATAATATACTGTATACGATATCTATAAAGGAGGACGACCTAAGTTATCAAATAGTATTCCCGAATGGTGCAAATTTATTATAAAAAAGTGTTGGAATCCTATCCCAAAAAAAAACAGATCAACTGCTAAGAAACTTGGCAACTTTATTCCCTCTATCTGCTATCCAACGACTGAATAATTTTCATTTTCAGTATTATAACTTTTTTCGAATTTAAAACACACATTAATTCCTAAAGACAAAATTAGATGAACTTGATGGAAGAATATGCAAAAAAGCATTCTTGAAAATATATGCAACAGGTCTTTAGAACATTATAAAGAATTAATGAGTGTCTTGAACTAGAAGAAAAACTTGATGAGAAGAATATACAGTGGCGCTCAAAAGTAATGCAGCACTGAAACAAAAAAATAAAAAAGTCGATTTTTAGTAATATGAACACTATAGATGAATATAAGTACATAAAAAAAAAACACAACACACACCTCCTATATATAAAATACACATAAGAATATACTCTTTTATCCCATACCATTCAAATTATCATGGCGCATATCCCCATCGAAAAAAGAGCCAAAATTTATACCCTTCTTCAAGAAGGATATTCCTCTCATTTTATTGCAAACCGTGAAAATATTTTCCAATCCACCATCATAAGAATAAGCAAAAAAAAGATACTCATGATACCTTCAAAGATTTACCAAACCAGGTCGTCCTAGAATTTTTACTGGTCGCGACGAACGAAATATCATATGTCTAATTTCGAATGGCGATTGTTCTACTGCAGCTTCCATCAAAAAAAAAAAAACTGAAATCTGAAGACAAAATCGAAGTCAGCGCAAGCATAATAAAGCGAACTTTATATCATAATGGTCTTTCTTCACGAATTAAGCGAAAGAAATCATACCTTAAGAAAACACATCGAATTCAACGTTTGAATTTCGCAAACAAACATCAACAGTGGACACTGATGACTGGAGCAAAGTTATCTGGTCCGACGAATCAAACTTTATGATTTTTAATTCGGATGGACGTGAATACTACTGAAAACGTGATAATGAACCACTAAAAGAGCACCATGTGAAACCTACAGTAAAATTTAAGGTTGCTTTTCATCCTTTGGCGTTGGCAATATCGTGCGCATTTATGGTCATATGGATAAGGAATTGTACTGTTAAATCTTAAATGATGATCTTTTATGAATAATCAGGTAGTATGATATTAATAAGAATGATATTGTCTTTCAACAAAACAATGATCCAAAACACACGACAAAATCTACATATGAATGGTTTGATGATACGTAATGAAATTCCTCTCCAATCACCCGATCTTAACCTAATCGAGCATTTCATAGACCGACGTTTGAGAAGATCATCCATTGCTATTCACACTCAAGATCAACTCTGGGATGCGATACAAAAAGTCTGAATCGGAATGGATAATGCATTTTTAACAAGTCTAATTGAAAGTATGGAGGAGCGTATCCAAGATGTAATCAATGCAAAGGGTGGATACACTAGATGGTAAAGAATATTTAGTTAAAATTTGGTGGATTTTTTTATTCAATTTGAATTTCTGTAATCAAAACGGTCAAAGAAACAGATCACTTAATTTAATGTAAAAATGGATTATTTTTATTTTTTAAGTTACGGATGAAAAATAAAGTAAATATTCTTTTATATTTGGTGACTAAAATAAGCCTACTTGTATATTGTTTGATGTTGTGTACGAGAAGTTATCGCGTCGCAAAATTTATCTTTCAAATGATGCATTACTTTTGAGCGCCACCGTACAAAAATGCATTCTTACAAATATATGCAAGAACAAAAAATCCACCTGAATGCAATTACATAAATCGAATCTTTGCTAAAAATTAATTTCAATTCTAAATGATACGGGTACTTTTTATATATAAACTACATTGATATTTCATATTTAAATTTGCTCATTTATATTATTTTTACAATAACTACTCTATCAGCCATTCAATATATTGAAGATACTCAATTACATACAACTCTAGCGTATGTGACAAGTGAATTTGATATGGATATCAATGCCGAAACCATGAGTGTTAGTCTGTATGTCCAAAGCAAAGCAATGAAGGTAAAATTTATTAAGTAATGATTATTAGTTGATTATATTTTTCACTTTATAATGTTAATATCAGCATATGTCTCACGAGAGTTTGATATTGAGAATGATAGAAGAGACGCTAAAAAATTCACAGCTGAAAGTTCAAATTTAATCTCAAAAAAATTAATCGTCCAAATACAACGATTTTTCATTGATAACGATCGAGTCTCAACGGTTTTATTCTTTCATTCTTTAGAACCCTATCGCTATTATTTAATGATGGATACGTAAATCAATTTACATATATCAAATTCGAAATTTGATGTTAATTTTTATACCACTATTTCTATTGTACAATTACACTGTATTAATAATTGTGTTGAATTAATGTCATTTTTCCATGTTCACTTACTTATAGATTTCATTAAAGGAATCAACATCGTCCAACATTTTTGCGGTTCCGTTTTGTCCGTTAACTTGACTTTCAATTTCTATTTTAAATCATCAGAGAATTTTAGCTGGCCAATGTGAGGTAAAAAATAAGCAACAATATACTCCCTACCTTGTTACCCTCGATAGGCCATTCCCAATAGTATTTTTCTGAGATTCCCGGAATGGTGTTCATATATGATTTTGATTTCTTTTTTCTTTTTAATACATGTCCTATCTGAATTCATATCATCTTCCGAGAAGGCATCATTATTTCGATTCGGTTCTAAATTGGCAAATGAAGTTCCAACTATGCTGTTACGATATTATCTGATCTGACGTAAGATTCGTATACGTGCGATAGCAATCTAACAAAATAAATAATAATTACAAGAAATTATTATTGCCAGCATAATTAAAAAATATCTACTTAGCAAAGTTTTGTTTATACATATAATTTAGCCAAATCACCCAACATAGCACACAAATACAAGAATGTTTCCAAAGCGCCTCTTTCCCGTTCTCTACCAATCGCATGAACATAAAAATATTAAGGATATTTAAACAAATAATTAAAAATATTCTAGTATCTCAGATCCAATATCGATATCGACTTCTTTAGAAATGTATGTTATCGTTATAAAAATAAATATTGTTAGTTAGATTTATAAATAAAATTCGTGATAATGATAACTTGCACTTCATTCCTTGCTGGTCGGAAGCTCTGAACAACCCACCTTCACGCTAAGCAAGATCATGAAGGAGATAGCGTTGGAGATCTTCGTAAGACTTGTGTTTCTTTGTCAAATAACCGATGGTGAATAACTGATTAATTGTAACAAATTTTATCATCTATTGAAAAAAGGGAACGCTCAATAGTAATTTCAAGTTTATAACGCACTACATCTCGGATATTTCTAATACGCAACATTGAAAAATACTGCTATTTAATTTAGCTAAATAAATCAAACGCTAATAATCCAACTTGCATGAAATATTCTTGATTCTCCTGCAAATGTTCTACCTAATTTTATGAATTCAAAACTTGCCAGTGATATATATAAGATTCTAAATAGTATATAAGAGCAAAAAATTAATAAAAGGAAAAAATAACAAACAAATAAAATTGATTTACACACGCGACTTTCAAAAGTGCTCAAAAGACATTGATTTTTAAGTTGTGTGCGTAGGCGAAGATTATTCGGATATCTGGATATGCTACCACAGAGATGATTACTTGTTCTTTTAAGATTTTTAGATGCACTCCCAGGCAAAGGTGCATTTCCACGAAAGTGGATGGATGCACTACCACAAAGGTAGAGGTGGATACACTACCACAGAGGTGAATACTTATTATTTTTTTATGATTTTTTAGATTCACTTCCCCAGATAAAGATGCGTTACCACAAAGTAGATGGATGCAACGCACCTTTACCCAGGGCAATGAATCTAAAAAATCATAAAAAATAAAAAGCAATCACCTTCATGGTAGTGTATCCATTTTTGTGGCAGTGCATACACCTTCGTGGTAATGCACCATGAAGGTGAAAATATGCATTACCACGAAGATGTATGCATTACCACAAAGGTGGATACACTACCACGGAGGTGATTTCTTTTTTTTTACCCGGAGGAAAAGAATAATGAGATAAAATCAACAGCAAAACAACGGATCTAGTTTTACTTTAAAAAAGAAGTAAAAAAGTTGGAGAAGAAACTTTGAAGAAAGAAAATATCTCTCGGCACTGAGTGTAAATAGTACTAGCAAGAAAGTAGCGATATACTACCACAAAGGTAATTACCTAGAAATCTTACAAGCGAGAAAAGTTAAAGGAAAGAATAACGGGACAAATCAGCAGCAAACAACCACTCCAGTTTTACTTTAAAAAAGCAAAAGAAATTTGGGAAAAAGAAACAACTCGCGAATAGCGCGTTAGCATAAATTCAGTTATATTAAGGTTTCGTGCAAAATTTATTAACTTGGATTCGTCAGCATCTTCTTGATGGCGATAACGCACCATCCATTGCTAATGTCACGAAATGGTTATTTAAATCCTATCGATTTTAAAAAATCTCTGGGATGAACTTGAATGATGCACACACCTCATAGTAGTAAGATTTATTTGTGATTTAAAAAGAAGAAAAATTATAATGCCACGTAACGGATGGCTAATGATATCAAATTCGCAATAAAAAAAATGAGATTTTTGATCACATGTCTGGTCACTTTTGATAGGGTAGTGTATGTAACCGTAAAAATAATAAAATATTTGTAACCGCAACAAAAAAATATAAAAGAAAACTAAAATACCTACAAAATATGCACCAGAAATAAGATACTGAAAGGTAGGTATAACCTCAGAATTTCTACTAATATATGTGCATTTAAACGAGATGAGAAAGATGAATTATTCTATAGAATTTGTATCAAAACAAGATAACTGAAGTAAATTTTCTAATGCTAAATTGAATTTTATCCTTTAAACTTGAACAAAAAAACAAAAATCTAACTACCAATTAGAATAAATTTCTTCAAAATTAAAAGATTCAACCATTTCGGGAGCTCGATCGTGCCCGTTTTCTTTAGCCTTTTGATACCAGATTAACGCCAGGTTGAGATTTTGTTCAACACCTATTCCATACTGATAAAATTTTCCTAGATTAAACTGAGCTTTTCTATGTCCCAATTCAGCTGCTCTTAAATACCATTCAAATGCTCTATAATCATTTTTTTCTGTTCCTTCTCCATATTCATAACATAAACCAAGTCGAAAATGTGAAAGAGAACTATCTACAGATGATTCTAAAAGATATTCAAATAAATCTTCTTCCAGATCTTTATTTTCTTCATTTCTTTCATAACTAAATCTTAGAAATAGTCTGGCTTTAGTAAGCTCTGAATTTGCTGCTTTCAAATACCACTCAAATGCTTTTTGTTCATCTTTGATTATTCCTTCTCCATTTTCATAACAGATGGCAAGATTAAATTGTGCATTAGGATTTCCAGACTCTGCCGATTTCAAATACCACTCAAATGCTTTTTGTTCATCTTTGATTATTCCTTTTCCGTTTTTATAGCAGTTGGCAAGATTAAATTGTGCGTCAGGATCTCCAGACTCTGCCGATTTCAAATACCACTCAAATGCTTTTTGTTCATCTTTAATTATTCCTTTTCCGTTTTTATAGCAGTTGGCAAGATTAAATTGTGCGTCAGGATCTCAGACTCTGCCGATTTCAAATACCACACAAATGCTTTTTGTTCATCTTTGATTATTCCTTCTCCGTTTTTATAGCAGATGGCAAGATTAAATTGTGCATTAGGATTTCCAGACTCTGCCGATTTCGAATACCACTCAAATGCTTTTTGTTCATCTTTGTTTATTCCTTCGCCGTTTTTATAGCAGATGGCAAGATTAAATTGTGCGTTAGGATTTCCAGACTCTGCCGATTTCAAATACCACTCAAATGCTTTTTGTTCATCTTTGATTATTCCTTCTCCGTTTTTATAGCAGATGGCAAGATTAAATTGTGCTTTAGGATTTCCAGACTCTGCTGATTTCAAATACCACTCAAATGCCTTTTTCTTGTCTTTTTTTATCCAATCTTCATCATTGTATAATTCTCCAATTAAATATTGTGCTACAGCATCATCCCCTTGAAATGCCAATTGTTGATAACATTGCAAAGCTTGATCATAGTCTTTTTTGGTATTCAAACCCTTATGATAAATAAAGCCTAGAATTTTTCTATATAGTATATTATTATCTTGTAAACTTTGTAAAAATATAATTTTTTCAGAAAGTATTCGAGTTTTTTCTAAAATAACAGTGAAAAGTTTTTCTAAATTTGCTTCATAATTTTTAGTATATTTGAAAATATTGTCAAAGAGAATCAATAAATCATCATCCATTGTAGTTTTATTTTCTCTGTCAATTTGTTGCTGATTAATGGTTTGATTTTCAGATGCTATTACTTGACTCGAATAAAAACAATCCATTTGATCATTTACGGCGTCATCTACGTCTGTTCTGAATCTTTTTTTCGACCTATCCTCTTTCTTTACACTATCTTCGGTCGTCAATAGCGGTTGTGGATTCTCTTCAGCTTCTGGCTGTTGCTGTCTCTTATTATTTCAATTTCCAACTTTTATTAATTTCGAACGTACGTATTACATGTATATATGTACAGTTAACTCTAAATATAACGGACCTTTTTATAATGAATACACTCTATAACGAACTTTTTTTGTAAAAATTTATTATAAGTTCGTTATAAATTTACTTTATAACAAACTTTTAAAAATTGTTTATTATTAGAATTGTTCAGTTTGTTATAGAGAGAGTTAACTATATATACATGTATTTCGAAATCCAGTAAACTACATGTAATTTTAATAATTTTGGCATTATTGGATTTTTCTTAAATAAATCTAATGATATCAAAATTATTTGATATATGTACATGTATTTGCAAAATTTTCAGATTTAAAAATTTTTTAATGGTTTATATTTTTAATTTATATTAATAATTTTTAATTTATAAATTATTTTTTAAGTGTCAATATAAACGATTACTTGTTATGAATCGGGTTGATGCTTATGATAAAGCTATTACAGATGGAACATCTATAATTCCTCTTAATATTATGGATGCGATTAATTTTACAGCTCAAGCTTGGAATCATGTCAAATCTAGTTCAATTCAAAGAGCCTGGACAAAAACAGGAATTTTACCTTCTACTTATATAAATAACGATTCATCAAATTTATTTGAAATTAATGAAGAAGAAGAAATACAACATATTATTGATCAATCTTTAATCAACAATTCCTTATCTGTTCAGGAATATCTTGAAATTGATTCCATTTTACCAATTGAAGAAATAATTTCTGATGAAGAAATTATTAAAACTATTCATGGTATAGAAGATTTTGAAGAAGTAGAAGAAATAAATAATATAGAAGATTCTGAAATAATAACAAAAAACCAAGTAGAAACTAGTATAAATACTTTATTTATATATATTAAACAGCAAAATTATAATTTAGAAGTTAAAAAATCATTAGTTGCTAAATTAGAAAATTTAAAAAAGGATATACAATTTAATTTTGAAAAAGATTCAGAATCTGAATATAATACAGCTGAAGAATTTTAAATTAGTTTTTTTATTAATATTTTATTTTATAATAAAATTTTTTAATTTTATATAGATATATATGTATAATTATTAGTTTATAATATATATTAATAAATTATTTATATTTTAAATAATATTAATATTTAAAATTAATAATTAAGTTTTAATTATTGTTATATAATTAAATTATTATGAAATTTATATAATTTATAAGAATTAAATTATATAAATTCTAATTTATTTTTATTTGATATATTATTTAAAATTTATAAAATAAAAAATAAATATTTAAATTTAGTTTGAAATACTAATAAAAATATTAAAAGATAATTTATATAACTTGATTTTAGAATTTGTTAGTATAATTTATTATAAATTTTAAATATATGAATTTGATAATTTTATTATAAATTCTTTATATATTATATATAATTAAGAATTTTATTATATTTTCTATATATATATATATAACTTATTATTCATTAATATAATTTTATAATTTTTATAAAATTTACAAACTTTATAAATTTTACAAACTTCAATTATTTTATTAAATATATATAATATATATAATTTTGTTTTATTAACAAATTTTAATTAATTTTAAATCTTTTTATATTTTTACAAAATGTATATAAAAAAATTCTTATAAATTAATAAAATAATTTATTAACTTTGAAAACAAATTCGAATTTCTTAAATTTATAGTAATAGTAATTAAAATTTTTATATATTATTATAAATTTGAAATATATTATAAGTAAAAAAAATATAATTATAATTAGTTATATTTTTAAACTATTTTATTAATTTTAGAATTTATTTTTTATTATAAGTAAGAATAATCTTTGAAATAATATAATTAAATAATTTGCTAAAATTAACTTGTTAAAATTAAATCTAAAATTATTTTGATTAATTTTATTAGTAACTAAAATTATTTTCAAAATTATTTGAATATTTATTAATATAAGTAATATAGTATAATTATTAAAATACTATTTTTTTAAAAATAATTTAGATAATCATTTTAATTACAAATTTTTTTATAGTTATCACTCTTAGAAAAGTAAAATTTGATAACTATAAAAAAGATATAATTATAAAGAATTTTTTATATATTGATATATTTACATTAGCACTACATGTATATATCAGCTTCGCTAAAAAATCTAGCGATTGATATATTTACACAAAAATCTTTATTTAACCATGATGATCATTGATATATTTATTGCTATATAACTACAACCCATCTGGAAGAGGATCCTCAGCCTTTAAACCCCATCGTGCTCGTCTTAAGTCTAAAAAAAAAATAATCGATTTTATTAATATCATTTTTATCTCAGGTATAAGTCAACATCGCGTAGTGAAATACCTACCGATATGTCCTCTCCTACAATCGGTGGATGACGGTGGAACTCGAATCTGATTGGCTTTCGGTTTGTCGAGTCTAACCTGGCGATTTAATCCATGAGCATCGTTTAAGTCTTGTTGAGGGATTATAGGAACAACCAATCCATTCACATCTCGCTCAATTCCATCCTTTTGATCTTTGTAAATCTCGGTAAAATCGCGCAGGTGGTGGAAGAAATTACCGTGAACAAAATAAACGACGCTATGTCGGATACCTCGAGTCACGGGAAAATTGCCGTGCAATAAGAAACGTGAAGAGAATGCTACGATCTGCCCTGGCCTCAATGGAACCAAGATCTGGAGTTGCGGAAAGCAAAGCTCACCACCCTCAAAATCTCCTAACGCCACCAGAAAACAGAGAGAGTTTGGCTCGTCGTGATCGTCCCAATGGTAATCACTGATCGTGTTAAAATTAATTGCGATCATCGGGAAGACCCCAAAAGGTCGAGGTCCAAAAGTCCCCCACGATAAATTTTCTAGTTTCTTATATAACTCCCCGTAATATTCTCGCATGAATTGGTTAACGGAAATTGAAAGCGGATAGAGATCGCGCAACAGAGTGTCAACACATCCTCGGTGATCAACGTTATGCGAACTTGCTGTGTTTGAACTTGTGAAAGGTAAGAGATTGTTTCGCGCGTACGTCCCAAAATGCTCTATGAAATTTGCCCAGAAATCTTTGCTACGGTGCGAAGGGTTACTCAAGGTGTGAAAATAATAGTAATTTACCGCTTCGGTGGCTTTTTTTACAGCACCATCGTCGAGCACTCCCAGGTGAATCAAAGTTCCACCCTCGATATCTGTGACGCATCCCAGATCCACGATATTACGAAAATGTACCTTTTTACCGAGCGAGAGAAGATCCCCACGTGCGGACACTATCATTCTGGTCTTTTCATTTCGAGAAATTTGAGCAGTGATATTAGACACATCCCGTTGTTTGTTCTGAAAATCTATCGGTTGAAATTTTATCCATCTCGATCGAAGGTGACGGCGCACATCTCTTCTCGTAATAGGCTCTTTCATCCCTAACCACCGACCGAAATCGATCCACAAACTCTTATTCTTTTCTTTACCGTCGTGAGATAATTCGACGTCATGTTTTCCTATTTTGATTATTTCTTCGTCAACTAACTTAAAAAATTTAGTCGGAACGTTTGATACCTCGATGTTACTCGCTAACTTAGCTTCTCGAATTAACGTTTCGGTTAATAGATCTCTCGTCGAAATTTCTTCGGTAATTTTGATACACTCCGACGCCACGCGATCTGACAAATAGAGCGGAACACTTCTCCATTCTTTCTCGATGTAATGTATCTTATCGCTCGTACACAATCCCCGAGTTGCGTGCTGAGTTCGGTGCTAATAATGAATTACATGTATTAATCTAAGGCTTGCTCACGCGGTGTAAATCTAACGACGAACCGATCTTATCATTTACTTTTTTGCGGATTGAACTAACCACCAAGACAAAGTATCGAGCCACCATAAGGTGATCATGCCCTTTCGAACACATGACATACTAAGTATATCCAACACAATACTTGGATGGTTGATCAATCATTTGCAATAGCAAAGACACGAAAAAGCAACTGACGAGACGGTCTGTGCTAAGTATTAATCCAAAAATAACATGTACCCGGCTTGGATCAAAAGTGATGCACGGCGTGCAAAGTCTCTGACTCGACGGTAAGATGGATGTACGTTCGTTCTGCTCTTTCGATATTAATTTTTGTTCCTTATGAAGTTTACGTTTTTTATTGTAACGAGCGCTACGTGACAATTTCTTGGATGGTTTCTCTTGCGACATACTGATATAGGAAAAAAGGTTCAGGTATTTATTAGCGTGAGCTAGCCTACAGCTGAGAAAAAGCAACACTATTCGACGAGCCGTTAGGATTATATAACCCTAGAGGCGATGTCCTAAAGACGAATAATATAGAAAAAGAAGCGTGGGTAAGTAATCGTTGATTGGTAGGGGTGTATATATATCGATCATCCAATCAAAAATCACTATACATCATCGTTGTAATTTTTCGATAGACTTGACATATAACGAAGTCTAGTAATCATCTCGTGGAGTGGAAACTGTAGTACTATCTTCCATTTGTCTTTGCGATGTGGAGATAGATGCTTGATATAGTAAAGATAAATTAGTAATTACTATATTATGTAAAAGTAACAAAGTTTAGTTACAACAGCTTCATCCGAAAATTGTACAGGAATCTCAACAGATTGTACGTAAATGGTAATATTGGTGTACATTAACCATATCACGTATGAGAAGATTCAAGTGTAATACATTACCTACGATACCAAACTGTTCATTATCTGGTTTAAGACTTTGACGTACCCAATATAGTCTGTCATTAGTTTCTCACCATAACTTAATCTCATCGTCGGTCTTTTTTTGTGGGCTACAAATTAATCGAGAGCATTCTACGTACATAAGTTCAAAAACTGTCTCCAGATATTTTACTACAAGCATAATATCTGGACGTCTCTCTGTGTAACCTTCTCCCTTTCTATTAGCACTTGCGATACTTTGCTTCTCCGATGTACTAATAAAAAAAGCGTCTCCTATGGGAAGATTTTTCAATGAAGCTCAAATAGCAGGTACAATGACAGTTGATTGGTACGTCTCCTCATTTAATGTCTTCGCAAGTTCGGGATCGAATGCTGAGTTATTCCAAATATCTTTCAAGACATTAAGAATTTCTTTAACCACGCATTCAATATCTTCCTTCTGTTCTTTCCAAGTTCCGTCGTGTGATACATAAAATTAATGCGATACCCCTCCAATACGCGAATCAATTCAACTTCATTTATTATATAAATTCTTGAAAACTATGTAAAGGAAAATTGAACAGTATAACGTATACTGTTGAACACATCAGTCTGATAAATAGTAGTAATTATTAGATGCATCAATCAAAAAATTAGCCATACAACAAGAATAAAGTGACTATGAAAAATGAAGAGGCGAAGCCTCTTAACTATTTAACTAGTTATACAGTAAATTTCGGTCTGCATATAAAGCTCGAGTAACAGATATAAAATTTTATTGGACGCTACTTTAAAAAAGTTGCGTTGCTTTCGGTGATGACTGTACAATGCGACTTCTAATAAAATTTTCCTATAGCCCAACCAAACGCCTTTTCATTTCCCCAAAAGACACCTCCGATAGCAGATTCAATCAATTTGTCCAAGAAACTCTTATCAGCAACAGTTACATTCATTCCAATCTCTTTGTCTTTTGCGTTGACTGCGAAGACAAGTTGTATATCTTTGGGATTAGTGGCGATGGTAGATGGAACACGCCCTGAAAGATTTACGGGATTACCTCCCGCAATCTGATATGTAACATTGCAGTAGTCTGGGCGCCCAATTCCCCATTCAGTAGTAGAGACGCAGATGTATCCCTTCTGATCAACGTCAAATGACTGGTTTTGGACCTTGGTGGTTCCGTGAAGCCTATAAAAAATCTCAACTTTGGGCCCAAATGAGCCATAACTGCCATATGAGAATGCGCTTTCGGAACTTAAACTGACTATTCCGAGTGTACCATTCCTAGTAGTTGTCGAAACATCGAATGGAAGCGAGGTTTTCTTCTGAGAAAAAGAAAAGAAAAAGATAGAAAATAAATCTTCGAGCGAAATAAAATGCAAGTTCGACCGTCACTTACACTATTTTACGAGTCAACACTCCCATTGACAAACTCGATCCTATAATACCAGGGTAGCTCATCACCGGGTACAATGGGGTTGACATCGTAGACGGTCAAGTTCAAGCCATCGGGGATATACTTGACGAGAATAGTCTGATGAACTGTACCTATGGGCATGTTGGACGGCAAAGAATAAACTTTGTAGTAGATAGGTAGCTCTTTGGCGGAATACTAAAAATTCGGGTTCATAGGCCACGTCTAAATATCTTTTCTGCAATTTATTTGTTACCTTTTTTTGGCTCTTTCCGCTGATGTATAATCGGGAATTTACCCGCCCAGGTCACACAGCCTGCTAGGTTGTACAGCCGATAATCGCTCAAAAAGTAAAACAAAATTTTTTGTGTTATGGCCATTCTGAAAATTGGCGGGCCCGTTCTAGGAATCCCAAAATGGGCCAGCCCATTTCAAGAAGGGACAATTGCAAAAAAATTTTCATCACGGTAACACACATCATACGGACGTTACGCGCTTTATTATTGTATAATATCAATAGACGATAAATGTAGTTGTTTTTTATAACAAATGCTTTCATAATGTTATTGTCAACATTAATACAAGTCTTATTTTTAGGGTGATAGGTTGAGCTACAAATGCTATTCGCTCTTTTACAGGGGACATCTTCTGGTACAATTACAACTATCAGTATGAGCAATATGAGCACTATCGTTAACACTACTTTGTAACCTAACTGCTATCCTCAACTCATTTTGCGGAATCCAGGGATTTTCTTCCAAGCCTTGGTGAACAACGGAGGTGGCATTTATATGGCGTTCTTCGGCATTTATCAAAAAATTGTGGATTTTGGTTTGTAAATCAGCAGACATATTGATTAGTCGAGTTCGAAGAAATAAAAGCTTTTGTTATATCACAAGTAAAAAACGACGAATAGGTATACTGCCCTTTTAAAACGCTTCCACCCACCCATTTCCACCTCATTTAGGTATGGGAAGAGTAGATTTAAGGAATGTGGAACTGGAGCGATGCAATGCACAAAGAAAATGCATATGGCACGAGTTAGTTAATCAGATTTAGAATTTATAGTAACAATTAGGTCATACGATTACATCATGCATGCAGAAGTTTCATGACCTTCGATTTTCTTTTTTGGTATTCATATGATATGTTGATCGAACATCTGTGTTACGCAATCGATTTTTCAGGTAATAGCGATAGTAACAATTAGCAGGTAAACAAACTTCATCGATTACGGTTCTTCGAGGGTAATCGATGGAAATCGAGTCGCGGATGTCAATAACGTCGGATCGGCGTATGTGTAGCGTCGCAGATTCCCAAAGCCGGAAGAATTTAACAGCAACCACTACGGCGAATTCTCATCACGATCGTCCACAATACCGCAAGTTTCCCAATTCGGTAAGCTCTTCAGCAGCTAATTCCCACCGCATTATCAACAAATACTGCTGTAGAATATTCAGCAAAACAGCAGCAGATTCACTCACGAATGTCAACAAATGCGATTTGTTATTTTTCAGCATGACGACATGCTAATAAAAACAACAAGTTCCCTTTTAATTTGCGACACGGAATTGCGCCACTCCTCGCGTTCACTTTTTTTTAGCGTCTCCTTATTATTTTTCAACATCATCTCCTTATTTTTCAGCGTTTCATCATTGTTTTTCAGCATCTCCTCATCGTTTTCAGCATCTCCTCATCGTTTTCAGCATCTCCTCATCAATCTTCAGCGCGGTTCCATTAGTTTCTGCTGTGGATAATAGAGCGTCCGTTATAAACTTTTTTTATTATTTTAGTAAACCGATATGTCTTCTTTGATAGTACATAAATAATAACACACAAAATAATGTATAAAAGAATGGCCCACGGGCTACTAGTAAAGGACAGAAATAAAATTGCGTACAATTCTCCTTCAGGCAAAATACAGCTTGAATCTTTGCGTACAACTATACTTAAAAGCGAATTATTGCTTGTAAAATCTCTCCCCCATTTCCCCACATTAATCGTTATATTGATTGTCGGTTAGGTCCTTTGTACCAGAAAAGGCATTGTTTCGCGTAAAATCGCAT